TAAGCCTGCAGTGTCCCCTCAGTAAGTGGTCTGGGACAGTATGAGAGGGGCAGGGACGGACAGAGCCTGAGAGGGACAAGGCGGCTGTGATATCCAGCTTCTCTCCTGCCCCCGACTAGACCACCAGTCTAGTTAAAAACTGTTTCCTGAATCCAGACTCACACAAGATGAGAAGCAAGAATTGAGCCCTGAGGATTCAATCCCCAGGGTCTAAGGCAGTACAGAGGGATGGGAGACAAACTTCAAAGTCAGTTAGAAGGGCAGGCTACTCCTACAGCCATCTGGGTTGGTTGTTTCCCAGGCCCCCCGCCAAGGCCCCCAAACTTAGAAGAGCTAAATTCCACCTTGACTAACTGTACTTCACTGGATACCGCCCTACCCTCACCAACACTCCCAGTACTCCATACTGAGAGAGGATACCTGAGAAGCCTGAGGTCTAGAACAGGTCTTCTCAAAGAGACCACAAGGATACACTTGCAGGGTCCTCTCCATGGTGACTCAGCTCTTGGGAACTTGTAAACTTAACTTTACAAAGTTAAGTAAAGTATCTGGGTATCTGAAATCCTGTAGTTATGTAGGGACTGGAATAGCATCTCCTGCTTGATTCAAACTGAACAGTGAGACGGGCACCTGTGGGGTGGAACTTTTTGACTGTCGATAAAAAGGGAAAGACCAAGCCAGTCGGGGTGCGGGGCCATTTGGAATTCTTCTATGCCATAAGCTCTTGGCCCATAAATAAAGCCTTCCTCTTATAAACATGGTGTTTGGGTGCTCTTTCTCTCCGTTGGGCCTCATCTTCCTGCAACAATACAAGTGCTCAAGGAACACTCAGTAAAGGTAAAGCAATGGGTTAATCTCATTTTCTCTTGCCGTCTTTTCTCTCTATCGTTTATGAAGATATTAAGTACCTGAAGCTGTAGGGAAAAGCTCAATACTTGACACTTCATCTACTTTGCTCCCCCCAAATGCCAAATTACCATGTAGTTAACACAATAGCAACTGTCCAGGTTCCCCGCCCCACCTCACCTGCAGGCACATTCCTGGTCTCCAGTTTTAAATCACTGCTATAGGGTTTCTTGGGAAAAAGAGTAGCATTCTACTCTATTCATGACCTTCTAGCCCTCTCCACAGTGTAAGTTAGGAAGTGCTCAGATACAAGGAGCGGAATAGCTGGTACAACCACAAACTAATGTTTGCCTGATAACTTGCGTTAGCCACTCAACGATGTAGACATGGACCGGGCTCTGCTCATCTTCCCACGGCACCATGTTCAGCGTGTTGACACTGATTTTTCAATACAGCCTCATAGCTGAAAATGGTGACCACAGGTCCAGGCATCACATCCTCGCATGGCAGTGCCGAATATAGGGAACACGGAGTTGAAGTAAAATATTTTAAAGACTATTCTCTTTCATGGTCCTCTATCTCTTCATTTAAACAGTAAAACCTTGATCAAAAGTGCAGAAGATTGCTTTTTAGCTCTCATTGGGCAGAAGTAAGCCCCTTGCCCAATGTTAGATCAATCCTGACAAAACAGGTGTAAGCCTTTTATGAATTAACCCACTGTGCATGGGCACATTTCTGCCCACTCAAACTGGAGTGCTGGCGTAACACAGATGACTAACCTTATCTGCCACACAGCACTGACACGCGTCCCTGGTATCTGCACTTCTCCTTCCTTCCTCCAGTCTTTAAATTACTAATCAGCATTTAAGTAAAAATGTGAGATAATTCTATAATCAAGTTCTATCTATTCCTCTCTGTACAGCCTAGTCCCTTAACAATTATATCCACAGGGTACATTCCTCTTTAAGAATCTGTAGAAACATAAAATCCGAATAAAGAAATAGCTGAGTTCCTGAAATGTCTTATAAACCATATCATACTTCCTTATTTTTCACTTTGCCATTTCAGCTCTAAATCAAATTTATTTAATTTGGGGTTGCTCAGTTACTTCAATGGATGGTTGAAACTGTAAATTAAGTTACCCAGCCTTTCAAAATGTCGAGAATCATTCAATTCAACGTTTATCGAGGGCTTGCTATCTCTTAACACTTAAGAACAGCTGCACATGTAAAACAGCTCTAAAAATTCCAGACAGAAGTATTTAGGAATATAAATACATCTATAATATAGTTTAGAGTTTCAGGTACAGAATTTTCTTAAAGCAAGGCATGCCACTATTTCAAATTATACATCTTTAAAGACTGCCACGTTCTTCCTTCACTTTCCTATCAATCTCATACTCTCATTCCGTACATTTTTTCCGTCTCCTTTGATAGTTACTCCATTCATCTGAATCTACCCGTTTATTGCTCATTTTTGAAGTTTAAGCTAGCAGATGGAGAAATAGATTATTTCCAAACATCTGCACTAAAATAATTTATCTACAACTCCTGCTGTGAGTAAAATTTACTTTAATTATATGATTCTTGAAAATTCCTGTCACCGGCACTATAAGTAAAAATGTTTAGTATAAAAATCAGTTACCACCGAGGCACGCAGTGTGGAGTGCACGCATGCTGCAGACAGCACGTGCACCACATCCAAACCATCACACGACATCGTGTATACTCACGACGGTCACAGCTAAGGTTCCTGGAAAGTTTTACATTTGTCACATTACATTGAGTATAACTGCACAGGCGGGGGGGGGGAGGATGAAGAAAAACTGGTTTAGCTTGACATTCATTTACTGGGTCTACTCAAACAGCCAATTAACAAGGAGTTTAGAGTGACTAAAAGGTGACTCTAAACTGTTCATGCAGTAATTTTTTTCTCATGCAATAATGAGATTTTAGTAACATTTGGGTATGCAGTTACCAGGGTTTCCTGATAATCCCAAAAAATAAAGTTAGTGATTCCCTAAAACCCACAGCTTACATGTGTGCACTGACCCACACACTCCCCTTCGTCAGTCTTTGGGAGGTCACGGTCTACAGACCTCCCATCCCAGGCACAGCTCTGCTCTCCTCATGAGTCTCAATTAAAGCTCAAACTTCAACCATGACTTAAATGCCAAATCTATGTCTACAGCTCTATCCTATTCTTCCCCTCTGCTGCGACTACACATCTAACCTTCCTTCTAGTAATTCCAAGGATTAAATGTCTAAAGTTGGACAAACCTGGACTCAACATTTTATCCTGTAAGTTTATTTATGTGTTACTATCTGAATTCAGAATATTGCGGTTCATTTAGTAAACTAGGATGAAAACTTCGATTATTCTAAATACCTCTATCTCCCTTAACTACTTTCTGAATCATTTACAGATATCTGACGTCCACTCTGAAATTATTTATAAATACCTCTGCTTTTAGTTCTCACTATCATAGACCTAATTCAACTCATTATTCTTCATATGAGTCTTGCTCAAAGCTTTCGGAACTGGTCTCCCTGCACTGAATCACCTCTGTAGTTAGTATAGTCAGAAAACCTACATTCTACTTCAAGAAATACGTATTGAGCGTTTTCTGTGTTTCAGGCTTTGACTGGGTAATGAGTAAGGAGTCCTAAGAAAAGCAAGGACCTTTCTTTCTTCAGTGAACTAGGACTCCACATCAGCAGATAAGACGGTAACTAAGTAAATAACAGGTAATAAACAACCCCAGAGGTGCGTGTGGAAAGAATAACAAGTTGGGGGAGGGAGACCCCCCTGAGCAGGTGTCATTTAGATTAAGACCAGCCACAAAAAGAGTCAAAGGCAAGAGCCTGACAGAGGCCCACATCAAAGAAGAGCCTACAAGGAATGCAGAAAGGCCATGCTGGCGAGGGCCACTGTACAAGGGGCAGGGTACATGAGAAGAGGTGGGAGAGGAGAGGTGGGATTGCCCACAGCATTATGGGCCACCATCAGAAGTATGAATCTAATGTGAAGCATAACTAGAAGCAAGGGAAGAGTTTTATGCAAAAAAGTAATATAATCTAATTTATACCTTTAACAAACTGCCCAAATTATGTTTCCCAATCTCAATGTAAATGTCAATCTTCTGCTCCAAAAATGTCAGTGGATACTGATGAAGGGGGTGACCAGATGTTTCAGTTTGCTCAGGCAAATCCAGGCTTGTATCTGCTGTCCTTGTGTGATTATCAATGGACCTTCCCTTTACTCTCCGTGGGTCCTGGTGGAGGACTCATAAATTGTATGGTCAACTTACTAATAGACAGTACAGTACAATATTCCTCAGGTGGACATTGAAGGTCCTTCCGGACCTGATCCCAACTCACCTCTCTCTTGTCTCTCCCTCTCACATCCCTACCTCATAAGTTTTTGGCCACTCTGAAATGGAAGGCTGGCAGTGTTCTGAATGAGGTGTGTATTCTGGACTTCCTGTGCCTTTGGTCACAGTCCTGCCTCTTCCTGGATGCACTGTAACCACTTCCCTGACAAGTGGACAGACTCTTGAGGGCCAACCCTAAGAAGCATTTCTGGAACCAAGGCAGAAGGAATGGCTTCTTCCTCTGCATGTCATCCGCCTACTCCAGCACGTATCACGACTGGGTGGTTAGTATTATCTGTAGTCTATCATCCCTCCCAGGAGGATAAGTACTCAGTGGCAAGGACAGCACCTCCTTTCATGAGTTTTGGGTCCTCATCATCCTCCATATGTCTGGGCTATATCTGGTATTGAGATATGTCTGCTAGATGAATTATTTAATATAAAAGCAAAGCAAAATATATAGTAAGATAATGAAGCTGAACAATGAGATTTTAAAATGAATTTCTCCATTAAGCTTAAGACATTGTTGCATTCACAATAAGACTATTTTCCTTCTCTTAACTTCATTCTCTCCCAAGTCCAAATGTAGCCCCTTCATAGAAAGTGACAATAAACTTATATTGAATGACTAGAAGTTAAAAAGTCTTTATAGGGAAAAAGGAGAAGTTTAATTTTCAAGGAAACTAAACACATTTATGTTTTGGTAATAAATTTCTGAATAATTTTGCAGCTGAAATAAAATAGTTCGATAGATTACCAAAACACAATTACATATACTCACCCCTCCTACATGATCCTGAACAAATTCTGCTCAGAAGAAGTTTTTGACGTAATTGCAGAACTTCAGCTTCTAAGGCTTCAACTTTTGATCTCCACTTTGACTCCTGCTCAGAAACTAACATTGCAAGGTGCTCTGTGTATTCTCTGACGCTTCTGTCTGCTGGTTTTGAACGGATAATTGCCAAGGCCAGAGCCAGCTTTGAAGTTCTCAAATACCACTTCTGAACATCCATTGTGGCTTTCGTCCCTGTCATTTAGTAAGAAAAAAAGTTACAGAAATTTCTTTTTATTCTTGCTGGGCATTTAATTTGCTCAAAATTGATTTTGCAGAGTAACACTAATTAACAAGTTTGCGATAAGCCTGACACCAAGTAAAAGAAAAAAAACTCAAAAAACGACAACAGTATGAGAAAAATATGCAAAAGCAAACTGCATACACATGCTTACTAAGTCTATTAAGATTCAAAATAGCAGGCTTAGCAGCTTGACAATTTTTGGAGGTGGGAAAAACACACTACTCATTTAGTAGTTTATAACCAGAGGCCCACATCAGAGTCTGTAAGGGAGCACTATGAATACTTGCATATATATTTATGTATAAGACTTTGTTAAGTCTTGCAAACTTTAATGGATCTTTACCTGTTATTCCTGACTTTAACCAGCCCCTCCAATCTACAAGGAGAACCATCTTTTAAATATTCACATCATTTAAGTTGTGAGTTTGTTCTGATTCTATGCTTCCAAAGACTTTCAGACGCTACCGTGAACATACTTTTCCAAACCAACACTGTGTCATTCTCTTAAAAACACACTGATGGGAATGACATTCAGTGGGTAATATCAGACCCCTGCATTCATCAGTTAATGCCATCATCCCCTCCCTCGAAGCAAAGCCCCCGTGGCTTCCCTGCTTCATCACATTATCACGAGGACTTGTCACATCAAATGTGCTAAGTAGTAATTTTTAAAGAATAATTAAAAGAAAAATGATCCAGAAAACTTAGGATTTGGGGTTGCCATACCTGTCGTACTAACAATTTCAAATTCTTCACCCCACATTTCAAGCTTTATCTCCTCTACTTTCTCAAGCCTGTCCTTCCCTGTGGTTGTCTCACCACAGTGCAGCAGATATACCCAGCCTGGGCTCATTCCCATTTACCCGTCTGCTCACAAATTTCCACCTCTTGTGATGCCTTGACTCTCTTGAACCTGCCCAAGCTGGCTGTACACCCTTCAAAAAACAACTCATACACCACAATATAAAACCTTCTCAGATTTATTCACATCCATAGCAATTTATAAGTGTCTGATATCCTATAATGTAGCACTAAAAATATATAATCTAACAGGTACTTGATGCTGTTTTATTATAATCAAGGATGAACACAAACAACTATATCAGCAGTT